TTTGAACCTGCAGAACTCACATATATCTCGAGGTGGGACAGCCTCCGGGCTTGTGAGCCAGTGACAGTGTTTTGAAAGGTTGTCTCTTGTGATTCTTGGACCCTGAGTTAAGTTTTCACTAGGAAACCTCTGTGGGTCTCTACAAATCCTTAAGGGCTCAGTCATTTTTTCCCCCCACTGGTTCATTGTGTCTGCTGACCAAGGTGTCTTCTGACTTAGCCTTTTGCTCTTTTATTCAAGGGTACTTTTGCTGGGGGTTCCCCACACTGTGCAGCTAGCCAAATGTGGTCTAGGGGGTCTTACAGATTGACTCTCCTGGGACAAAGACGTCTGAACCACTACTCAGGTGTAACCTCTGATCTTTGCAGCTCATTCCACTTGACCTTTCACTCCTTCCCATCAGGGAATTTACACCTTCGCTTTATTTATTCAGAGACTTCAAAACAAAACAGCTTTGCTACTTTAGAGGGGTGATGTCTACTGTGCCCTTTGCTCTTTAGGCATTTTCAGATCCGGATCCTGAGATGGCAGCTCTTTGCTTCAGGGTTATGCAAGTGTATGACCTGTGTGGCTCCACAGAGAGGGTATCTTTCAAACTTAGCCTGCCCAGCACCATACACATGTCACCCATGCACCTTTATTTTGCTGGTTTTCAGTGTCCTTCCTCTGTAATGAGCCACAGCCACAGTCACTCGCTGACTGTGTTTTCAGGGGTCCTGGGACACACTGTTACTCAGGAATTTTCCCCGGGGTTTGAAGGGGTTAATGAGTTGGTTTGGTCTTCATGCTTCTGTGATGGGTCCTGTCTGCCACCTACCTAGATCTCTGTTTTTACTTTCAACCCAGGTTTGTCCGCTGTCTGCTCTCTGAGTTCTACCACCTAAAGCATGACCTCATCCCTCCCCTCTGCTTTCTTTTGGGGTTTCCTTATAGTGTCTTCAGGTAGTTGTGTTTAAATTCTTCCTCATTTCAGCTGTAGAACACTCTATTTTTGTACTATAGATGCTCAGCTTCTGATGGGATTACCTCTCGATAAACCGGTTAGAATTTGAAAATGTCAAAAAATGTGGTTCACATGGTACCCAAGGAGCACTCCGCAGCTCCTCACCCCATAGAGAGTCAGCTGTTTCCCCCAGTGACTGCCGCTGCAGCTGTGCAGTGCAGCAGGGTCCAGCTGTGTTCCCAGTAGCCTAGAAGGTCAGGATTCCAAGTTTGAAGTACAGTTTCTACAGACTCTACATTGCTTTCATGCCAGGATAAAGCCGGAAAGTGTGTCAGACCGTTACATCAAAACGATCTTTTTCTTGTTCTTCACAGTAAAGACAGCTTTTTTTCAGTGGCTGATGTGTTGTCTTCATCTTGTGCATCTTACGGGTTACCAAAGTTCTTCTTCTATAAGCAGGGGTTTTAATATGCTATTCTCTCCACTCGGCATTGTTTGTGGCTTCATGCTGGTCCAAGGAACCTCTCATGCTCCTGGGCAAACCTGCTTCCACGGGGATGGTGTGGACAGTGATCTGACGTGCCAGAGTTCTGCTGTCCCGGCTTTGCAACTGGCAGTGGCATTTTGCTTGCCTTGGGCTGGTTTTTCTCAAAGTGCAGTAGTAACGGTTGCATCCCTTTGGTTGCATCCCTCCTGAGCCTTTCTGCCATGTGTTCCATTCTGTCTTCTGCAGTCCTGAGCACCTTGGTACACATCGCTGGACCTGGGGACCCCAGACTGTGGTTCAAAAGAGATGCTTGGGTAGTCAGCTGCTCCTTGGCAATTAATTTCATTGCTTTGCGAGTCATCAGCGGGGGTCTGGAATATTACAGAAGGTTGGAGTTCACTTGTCTCAATATTTTGACTTTTAGATTAAGTTTTAGAAGAAAATCCTAACTCAGTGAACTTCAGTTGACTTACTGTATAGACAAATAGGGGCATAGGGTTGGAATTTCATGTTTAAATTTTCATTTCATGTGTGAGTCTGGGTAACAGTTGTAAAGACAGTGATTTGGGTGGGATTTTCATGCCTTCTTCCTTCACTGAGTCATGGCTTTAATAATCTTAGAGCTCTTCTGTGGGCCTGCCTGCATGTTAGCTCCTTCCACAGAGAATTATTTTGTATGAGATTCTTGGCGTTGACCTTGTATCACTGGAGCTGTGCCTTTATACATACCATGAGAAAGGCACGTCCTAAGAGATTGTGGAAATAGTTATCTGGGGTGTAGACACTCAGAAAGAGTCTGAAGTTTGAATGAAGAAAGGGGAGTTTTTGTGCTCATCTGTGACAGTTTTCTCCCTCACCACTGTGAAAGGACTTGGGAAGTAATTTTAGGTTTACTGTTCCAACACTGTTGAATGTAAGTGACGCCTGTTTGCAGATTAATTAATGTTGGCTGCTCAGATACATGGTCAACCCACAACAGTTTGCTGTGTCAAAGGAGACAATGTCCACCAGTGGGGGCAGGACCACACTCAGGCCCCCAGTTGTGTGGTTTCTATTTGGTACCTTGTGCAGTCTGTAAAGAGTCTCCTGTATCTCCACCTCTCCAGCTCCAGGGCTTATTGTTCCTCATCACTATGTTGTGTCAACTTACATGCTGAACCCTTCACAGGCCTTAGTTGCAAGTCTGCACCTGAGTGCCTGTTTGCTCCCCACAGTCTGAGGGGCTAGCGACTACACATCATGGGGGACACAAACAATGGGGCTTATATTTTAAGCAGCCTAGTAAATAAAATGGTTATTTAATAGCCCAAGAAGGTGCAAGATTCTCCACTTTTAGCTTTTTTAGATGTCACTGATTTTGATTCTGCCCCCTTGCCTCAGAGAGTTGAGTGGTTGGGAGAGCATGTGGGCCTGAAGAGTTAAACTGGTATTCTTTAGCAATGCCCATAAGGCTTAGTAGCATCTTCTCTTGGGATCTCTGAAGAGTCCAGTCCTGAGCATTTGGGAAGCCCACATGTGTTCCCAGCTAACTGCTGAGGCTGCTTCCTATACTGCGTCTCCTTTGGCAAAGAAGAGGGCAGGGTCCTGGGGGCCCAGAGGAGAAAAGCCAGCATTCAGAATAAAGGAGAGAAAGAAAGCATTCTGTGTCCCCGCATCCTCACCTCAGCTTTAAGTGAGGAAAAGAGGGTGTTCTGGTTGAGTGCACTCTTACTGGGGTAGAAATGGATTTAGGGGAACAAAACCAGCATAAAACATAGTTTCCCCTTAAGACATAATCTCTTTCCCATGAACATTTAAAACTTTCTAACTACAGCTGCCATGAAATTGATTTTTGTGAAATTTTCCAGAAATGCCCCTTTTACATCCATTGAAAGGCTTGCATCTGTGTGCATAACTATTCCCAAACAAAGGAGCATGGCAGTACCCTTGCAGACCTCTCCTCTCTGTGTTACCAGCTCTGCAGACCATTTCACACCTTCCCAACAGCAATTCTTCACTCAGGCGCTCTGTTGGTTGTGAAATCTGCCTCCCATGGAGACTAGTCTTTCTGTTCTTAACCCTCCTGACATAGAAGCAATAAGGAATGTTTAAATTGAGGCTGTTCTACAGCTAAGGGCTTTAATCGTGTCTGCATCTTAAATAAATATGTTGGAGACTTTGTCTTTCTTTTTTTTAAGAATAAAGAATATCTTAAGATAAAGATTGGGTGTTTCCACTTGCACAGCCAGTCAGCCTGCATTCATTTGGAGTATTACAGAACTTGGCATGCACTGGGTCTTTCTTCTAACCTGAAACTTTGAAAGAAACAAACTGATGTTTTGAGAATTGGTGGCTTAGACCTTTGTGGCCTTAATTAAAGAGCTGTTGGCTGATAATGAGCTTCTGCCCACCAGACATGACACAAAAACCACACCTGACCACTGTGGAACAGTCTGGTGGCTTTTACATTAAGTGTGGGTATCATAACAGATCATGGGTATTTCTGCAATAATGTGGGCATTGATGTTAAATATTTTCCTTCATCTGAATTATAAGTCTTCCTTGTACACTTGGAGTGTCAAAGTAATAGAATACATCACAATAACAGATACATACAAAGCCAGGGGTGTGCGTAAATTTAATACACAACATACCAGTCATCACTAGATCAGCATCACCTTCTCTTAAAGCTGTTAGCATAAAAATTAAAACCAAGATTGGAGGGACAGTAGCCTGACTGTCCTCGAGCATTTCATTAAGAGGACTGGCCCTGGTGTCAGTAAGCACTTCAGAGTCACGTTTACCAGACTCCTTTATTCCAGGCAGCTGTGCACCACAGAAAGCCCTTGCTGTTCATAGCATACTGCGTGCTGCATCCACCTAAGGATGGCCAGCGCTGACTGCAGATGGCAGCGCATACTGCCCCAGCTGTGAGGAGTAGATCCAGCTCGGGTGGTGGGGCCGAGGGTCAAAATTAAAAGCCCCTTTGAATCATAAACTACCTCCCTCATGCACAGCTGTGGATATCTTTTTGTTTTTATAGCTACAAGTGTATTTCCAGTTTATACTTAAAATGGAAGATACACTTCTGAAATTAGCAATATTTCTTGTGGTTAAAACACAACTGGTGTTTTAAGACAGGGTTCTTCTGTATAGCCCTGGCTGGCCTTGAAATGGCAACAGTCCTTCTGCATTAGCCTCGATCTTTATAAGGCTGTATCAGTTCTGTTTTAGTTTGTTGTATGTATGGATTTTTTTATAAAAATAATTTAACTGATATTAACATCATAAAAAATTCACATGTTAATGGGGTGCCACATAACATTTTGATTTCTGTATATTCATACATTTTGAGTATAAAATATAAGCAATGTAGTTTGAGCTCATGGCAAGGACATTACCACTCTATCCCCCCCCCCCCCTTTTTTCTTCCCCCTGATTGGGGCAGGAAAGAAAAGATTAACTTTATGGCCTATGGTAGCGGTGATTGTAGTGGTCATGGTCATGGTGATGATAATGAATGTTTCCTTGTTAAACTTATAGCTTTCTCAAGTAATGAGGTTTGTTTTTTAACCTTTCTCTCATACATAGGTGGAAAGGATTGTTGACAAAAGGAAAAACAAGAAAGGAAAGACAGAGTATCTGGTGCGTTGGAAAGGCTATGACAGCGAGGATGATACGTGGGAGCCGGAGCAGCACCTGGTGAACTGTGAGGAATACATCCACGACTTCAACCGGCGCCACAGCGAGAGGCAGAAGGAGGGTAGCCTGGCCCGTGCCAACAGAGCCTCCCCCAGCAACGCCCGGAAGCAGATCTCCAGGTCCACTCACAGCAACCTCCCCAAGACCACCCCCAAAGCACTTGTGGTAGGCAGAGATCATGAGTCCAAAAACAGCCAGCTGTTGGCTACCAGCCAGAAGTTCAGGAAAAACACAGCCCCGTCTCTTGCAAACCGCAAGAACATGGACCTCGCCAAGTCAGGGATCAAGATTCTCGTGCCTAAGAGCCCTGTAAAGGGCAGGACCTCAGTGGACGGCTTTCAGGGGGAGAGCCCTGAGAAGCTGGACCCTGTGGAGCAGGGTCCCGAGGACACCATAGCACCAGAGGTGACTGCAGAGAAGCCCATTGGAGCTTTGCTGGGCCCTGGTGCAGAACGAGCCAGGATGGGGAGCAGGCCCCGAATACATCCACTAGTGCCTCAGGTTTCTGGCCCTGTGACTGCTGCCATGGCCACGGGCTTAGCTGTTAATGGAAAAGGTGAGTGTCTAGGTGGGCTGTGATGAGCTTTGCTCACATGCTGAGCAACGACTCTAGAGGGCATATGTCCTTCTCTAGAAAGGTTCTTCTCACATCCTCCTGGGGGGAGAGGGCCCAGCTATCTCCCAGGCCTTTGGGAGATCTTGACAGCTTCTTTCTTTCCTCCAAGCCTTTGGCATGCATCTTCCTTCAGCACTGGCTTTCCCTTTGCTGCCCACAGCTGGGTCGTCACTTCTCACTGCTCTGTCCAGGGTCTCTCCCTAAACAGTCTATGATTGTTTTGATTTGTTTTTTATAGCAAGCTTCATGAAGCCAGCTGCCTTCCTATGTCTCTCACACACACTTTTGTTAAGAATCTACCTGTGGTTTCTCATGTGGCCCACATAGATTCAGAGACCGTACTCTTGGTTTGCCCATGTGAATCACGAGATGTGCTTCCAGTGAGGGTGTCTTCAGGTTTGCTCTGTTGTGCAGCTGGTCAGCTCCTGGTGCATCTTGTTTGGGAGTCGGAGCTCACCCAGCACAGTGCCAATCTGTTACCATCTCCTTGCTTCCTCTCATCTGTGACCTGCCCATTTCCAAAGATAGCCTTCCAGGGGCTCCTTCTGTGGTGATACTGTGTTAACTATTTGTGCTACATTCTTCCCCTCGCCAATCCACACCTTACTGGCTGCCTGTTTTTCAGGGTTACTCATCCAGACCCCATTGGCCGTTCTGGTCTTTTAAGTCCTGAGCCTGTCTTCTTCTTGCCACAGCTTCCTCAGAATTGACTCTGTATGAGGGACTGCTGACGAAGCCCAGAGCCTCATGCTGACCATATAGGCGCTGTAGTATTGAAGCCCAGTCCCAGCTTCACCACAGCTTTCCACAGCTCTCCTGTTTCTTGCCTTTTGACACCCCCATCCATTTCACGTACTTGGACAGAATATGGTACCTTTGGACCAAGCTAGTGAGTCTTCTCACTTAAGTAGCAAGAACACTTCTGAATGTTCCTGGGCCACTGCCCCAACCTGTGCAGGCATCATGATAGCGTACCCTGGCCTGTCTTTCTCATCTGCCTCCTGAACTCCAGTTGGATTGCAGGCTCCACCTCCTGGGCCCCTTCTCCTGGCCATCTTACAGTGGTCGCTGTGTGTGCACCCCACTCCAGTTTTGTAGACTAATATGGCACACAGTGGTGTGGGGTTGCTGGGGAAGCTACTTAGCTCCGCAGGTGAGAATCACGGGAGCGTTACTGTCAATCCTGTCATGGTGTGTGCAGCAAGTTTTCCTCTTGGCCTTGGCCCTTGTGTGGTCCCTCGACAGGCTAGTAAATAAAGTCTGGTGTCTCACCAGCATTTACCAGATACATACTAGACCCAAGGTCCTGCTCCGCTGGCTGAAAGTCAGCCTCACATGGGATGAGCACTCATTTATGAGTATGATGACATTCCGTAGCCAGGAGGATCATAGACATTCAGAGGTGGAGGAGACTATTAAGTACCTGCTTGTGAGCTCTGTTACCCATGTAGGGAATTCAGATCCAGAGAAAGTGAAAGTTCATAGAAAGAGATACACACAGAAGGGATCAAAGCAAATGTTTCAGTTCATCTCCTGTGTTCTCCCCATAGTGCCTGTACTAGTCAAGGGGCATCTGTTCTGGGTTGATGACTTGAGGCCAGGCACTGTGCTCAGCCTTGGACACAGACAAGGACTAGCACAGTGGTTGGCAAAGCGACACAGCCTGTGAAGTAGTAGACCCCACTCACCACCTGGTTTTTTATGGCATGTCAGCGAAGAATGGGCTTCACTTTTCCTAATGACTTAGAAACCAAGAGGACTATTGATGTGAAACTACAACAGAGCAACATTGTGTGTCTGTGTGAAGAGTCTGACCAGAACACCGCTGTGTTCATCTATGTATGGACTATATCCATGGTTGTGTCTGCTACAGGGACAGAGCTGAGTCCTGATATGGCCCACGTGGCTTAAAGTTTACTAGTCCCTGCAACAGGAAGTCATCATTTTTTTTAGGCCTTTGCTTTTAGCTTTTGAGTAGAACGCAAAGGCTTCAGAAGACCTGTGACCTTCTTGTCATTCTCGAAAGTTTGTGTATTGTTAGTGGGAGGGAACCTGATGATATTCAAACCTTGGACTCAGCAAGGCTGAGAACGCCAGCGAGCTACTCTAAACCAAGAAGGCCAGCTTTGGTAGGTCCCCATGCTGTCTTTCTCTTGATCCTTCATGTGACGCAACATGGACTGTGCCCCTCTTACGTTTCCACAGTCTGCAAAATCCCGCCCTCAGCCAAAAGCCTCTGGTCCTTGTGTAAGGTGGTTAGTGGCTCCAGTTTCAGGATTTGGTGGCTTCCCACTCTTAAAAAGTTCTCATCCTGGCTGCAAAGGTTATGTGAGCCTGAGATCTTCAGCTTTTAATCTTGCTGTGAAGCTCGGTGGGTTGGTGTGAGAGTAACACCCTGAGACTTATTTCTCAGCCCCTGTTCCTTCACAGTCCATGCTCCCCTTTCTGCTTGTTGGTCAGGTAGAGTACTGGATGAGAACAGTCTCCACTGAGGGGGCAAATAAAAGCCACTTGGGGATATTTTTAGGCCAGTGGGGACCAATCTCTTCTGGCAGCCTATGTAGAATCTAGACTTGCAGATTGGTAAAATGAGTACCTCCCTGCTTAGGTCCTCCACCCCATTGGCAAGTCCTTTCTGAACAAGTGAGATGACAAAGCAGCTAGACAAGACTCAGGTGTGCCAGTACCCCTTCCTTCTGAGGCTGAGGGAGGTTTTTCCTGTCCGCTACAGTCGCATGGAGGCCAGTGGGGACAGGGGCAAGACTTGTCAGAGCCGTGTCTGCCCTGGGGCTGGTTCTTGAGACAAGTTGTGGGTGGGCTGCAGTAGAACACATGCTCACAGAAGGTGGGCGCTTGTGGCCTTTCTGGCCCAGGAGAGACTAGGACAAGTCTTCCAGAGAGCCAGGCATTCTCTGTCCTCAGTGATGAGCCATGAGGCCGAAGCTCTGCTCAACTGTTGGTCCACGTGCATAGATCCTTTAAGCAGTTGTTTGTTTTTGCTTTGCAGATTAATTTTAGAGCTGTGTAAGAAAACGGATTTGTTTTTCTAAAACTAATTGAAGCAGATACTGGTTGAGTCATTGGGAAATGAACCATCTTTCTGTTCAAAACATTAATCATATGTTCAAGGGATGTATTTACCACTGAAAACAGCTTAGAGTGTCTGAATCAGAATGAAAATTTTGGGCCATTAATACACAAATACTTTTATACATACTCATGCACATTTGGTTTTTAACTATTTTAAAGATAAATGCTTAGAAGGTAGATTTATAGCTTCTCTCATTAATGTAGATAAGGTGTTTTCCTACTCCTCCACTAGGAGGTCAAAGGTCATTCCTTGCTCTAATTACCTTCTGAATTAATTTTATAACAAAACAATTTCTTTTGAAAGCTGTTGTTTTAACTTTTTTTCTGTACACAAATTCAAGTAGGAAATATGAGACAATATTGTCAGGAAACTAGCCTCACCCCCTGCGGGGGCCCCCCTCTCCCATTTTTAGCACATGGAGCTGGCTATTATTCAAGTCAAAGCCATCCACTGTCCTGGGAAAGTGACTGAAAGGCCTTAGCTTGCCTGCGTTCATCTCCCCAAGGATGTGGACTTGTGGCCTGGTTTGCTTTCCTCTTCTTTTCAGGGAAGTGTTGAGTTTCATGTTAACAGCTCCTTTCTAGTCCCATAGGGCTAATGACGCAGGTGAGATGAAGTCGGAAGACCGGCACCCCACTGCTGGACCACGAGGAAGTGTGTACTTGCAAAGAAGGGGCAGTGGGCGGGGTATAGTGGAACGTGCCCATAATCCCAGTCCCCAAGAGGCTGAAGCAGAAGGATTGCTGTGAAATTGAGGCTAGCCTGGGCTACATAGTAAGTTCGGGGGCATAGAGCACCAGAGTAAAACCAGAAAAACTGAAGTGAGAGGAGGCACACAAGTGAGAGTGTGTGTGCAGACATTTGACTGATGGGAGAGAGGAGAGGTGACTTCATGAGTGAAAGCACTTGCTGCCCTTCCAGAGGACCATGGGGTGCCCAGCACCCACATTGGGCGGCTTACAACTGGGTGATTTCCGTTCCATGGGTTCAGACACCCTTTTCTAGCCTTTGTGGGCACCTGTATGTACATGGTATACATATAGACAAGCAGGCAAACACACACACATATAAAATAGCAATAAGTTGATTTTTAAGAAAAGATTACTTGTAGGGGCCAGAGAGATGGCTCAGTAATTTGCTTGCTACACATGCGTGAAGACCCGATACTGTATTCCAGCACCCACCTGCCTGAAATTTCAATGCTGGGGAAGCAGAGACAAGAATCAGTGAGTACCAGATTCAGTGGAAGCCTGCCTCATAAAATGAGGTTGAAAGCTGGGGAGATGGTTTATTGGTTAAAAGAGTTTTGTAGGTTAAAAAGCCTGTCACGCAAGTGTGAGAACCTGAGTTTGAATTCCCAGAACCCACCTAAAAGCCAGGCACTATGGTGTAAGTGGATGTTACCAGGGCCCTCTGGGCCAGCTAACCCCGCAGGTGCAGCAACCGAGAAGGGGCGACAGGGAAGGCCAGGACCAGCATCCAAGATTGTCCCCGACCTCAACACATGCTTGTGCCCGCAACACACATCGCGCAGTGTGTCCGTGTGGTAGGTGTGTGCACCCAGTGGGCATTTATTAGAGTCTCCTGTGCAAACATTGGCAGCAAGTACTTGAACAGCTCCCAGATCTCTTGATAATTGATGCCCTCAAGCAGGACATGTGATGCTCAGTAGCAGATGGGGTCTTTTGTTCCTTGTGGTGAGTTTAGTGTGCTTTAGAACTCTAATACAAGTTCTAGCCATTCTTGGTTATCCCCAAGAAGTCTTCAAAGTGTAATCACTTTGTTTTAAAACTTATAAATATGCAGGTATTTGCCAATCAGTGATGTGTAGTTAAGACCCTTTGGAAAG